AACCCTATACCATTTCGGACAAATGGCTGTCCAGTTTTTTCTTAAAAACTTCCAGTGTTGGCGCATTCACCGCTTCTGGAGGCAGGTTGTTCCACTGGTTAATTGTTCTAACTGTCAGGAAGTTTCTCCTTAGTTCTAGGTTGCTTCTCTCTTTGGTTAGCTTCCACCCGTTGCTCCTTGTCCTGCCTTCAGGCGCTTTAGAAAATAGCTTGACTCCCTCTTCTTTGTGGCAGCCCCTGAGATATTGGAACACTGCTATCATGTCCCCCCTCGTCCTTCTCTTTGTTAAACTAGACATATCCAATTCCAGCAACCGTTCCTTATATGTTTTAACCTCCAGTCCCCTAATCATCTTTGTTGCTCTTCTCCGTACTCTTTCTAGAGTCTCAACATCTTTTTTACATCGTGGTGACCAAAACTGGATGCAGTATTCCAAGTGTGGCCTTACCAAGGCATTATAAAGTGGTATTAATACTTCAGGTGATCTTGATTCTATCCCTCTGTTAATGCAGCCTAGCACTGTGTTGGCTTTTTTGGCAGCTGCAGCACACTGCTGGCTCATATTTAAATCATTGTCCACTAGGACTCCAAGATCCCTCTCACAGTTACTACTATTGAGCAAGGTACCCCCTATACTATACCTGTACATTTGGTTTTTCTTGCCTAAATGTAGAACTTTACTTTTTTCACCGTTGAATTTGATTTTGTTAGATAGCGCCCAGTGTTCAGGTCTGTCCAAATCCTCCTGTATCCTAAGCCTGTCTTCTGGAGTGTTGCCTATTCCTGCCAGCTTAGTGTCGTCTGCAAATTTGATGAGTTCCCCATCTTTCCCCTCGTCCAGATCATTAATGAAAATGTTGAAGAGCACTGGGCATGTTGAAGAGCACTGGGCAAAGGTTAAACCTTCTGACAGGCAAAGTCAATGGGAAAGCCAGATTCACTTAACCACCATGTTATTAATTTAACAACTTCCACATTAACAAATGTGGAAGAAACATCGTAAAATGGGGCGAAATTAATTAAACAAATTTCTCACTTAGCAACATAAATTTTGGGCTTAATTGTGGTCATAAGGTGAGGACTACCTGTAGTAGGTTCTATTGAAACACAGATTCAGCTATATTCTCTTTAAAAGTGTTTCTACTTGTATTGCCTTGGTCTATATCAAAGCCAAGCAAATTACATTTATGGCTAATCATACTAAGTTTCTCCTCCACAGATGTATGGCATTACCTTATGAGGAGAGTGTTTTGCTCAGGAACTGAAAACTGTATACAAGCTGTATGTTGGATGATCTCTCTGCCTCTGTTCTCCTTATCCTGTTTACTAATTTCCAGGAATCAATGAATATTCAGGACAATAGTCAGGACTGGTTGCTTTCACAGCAGAATCCTCCAGCAAAGCTCAAGAATGGCTTTTTTGAAAAGTGAAAACCAAAACAAAGAATAGCTCTACATACAGTAGCTCTTGATAAAGTAATGTATATTCAAAGAATGACTTTCCTTGGAGTCAAATGTTTTCTTACAGTTATTATATCTAGTACTCATCAATCTCTTTGATGGTTCTGCCCCTTTTATTCAGCATGATGTGGCACCAAGTAGCATCTTTCTTTTTAAAAGCTAGCACTTTAAAACCACTTAACCACTTAGACATTCAGCTAGATGAGCTGCTTCATTCTACTCCAGAGATAAGGGTACAAAGGATTTCCCTGGATTCAGCACAAATATATTTTTTTTCCTTAATTGATCTCAATTTCCTACTGAGGGTAGGAATTAATTAATTATCAGAATCTATTCTTTATTTCCTTTTTTCTTTGACAGAACAGAGCAAGAATATGTTTATGTCTAAATAATGAAATGAAGTCATCAATTAAATAAAACAGGTTTTATTCATATGATATATCCATCCATAGCTAAGTATAGTATATTCAACAGAGATCATTTTCTATATTCATTAAAATGATAGGGTTGGGTCTGTACATATTAGACTAAAATATAGTTGGGTACTGGTATGCTTTGTATGTCATAGCCAGAGAGATGAAACAGTGACTAATTAAGAGATAATTAGAGAAGAAATAAAAGAACAAAAATTACTAGGAAGAAGCTTTGAATTAAAGACCTAATACTGTTTTGTCCACATTCAAGTGATGGGTATAATAATAGTACAGATAGTCCTTGATTTACAACCACGATTGAGCCCAAAATCTGTTGCTAAGCAAGACAGTTGTTAAGTGAGTTTTACGCCATTTTATGACCTTTCTTGCTACAGTTAAGTAAATCACTGTAATTGTTAAGTTACTAACATGATTGTTAAGTGACTCTGGTTTCTCCATTGACCTTGCTTGTCAGAAGGTTGCAAAAAATGATCACATGACTCTGCGACTGTCATATATATGAGTCAACTGTCAAGCATCTGAATTCTGATCATGTCACCATGGCGATGCTGCAAGGATTATAAATGTGAAAAATGGTCATAAGTCACTTTTTTCAGTGCCATTGTAACTTTGAATAGTCACTAAATGAACTGTTGTAAGTTGAGGGCTACTTGTATTTGTTTTGTCTATGAAATCTTGCAATAATTCAAATCTAAGTATAGGACAATACAAAAAATACTTTCAACATGGGGAAAAAAAGGCCAGTATGGGATCAAGGTCTAGAAATCTGAACACCAAATTAGTTGTAAAGAAATGTTGCCCTGCAGAAGGTATTCAACACACATTCAAAATGAATAACCTCCTGCTTAAAGAAATGTTATACATAATCTAATATTGTCCTTGACATTTTCACTATTTATAAAATTTTGTGAGATTTTTCAGTCTAATTATAAAGAGACATTTTCTATTTATGATTATGTTCATGTTTTTTTTGGATTTTCAGCAATCCAAATCCAGCACTGCTTTAAATAATAATTTTTAAATGTTTTTTTTCTTTCTTTCGTTTGTTCCTTTACCTTTTTTCTTGTAAGGAGGTGCTCTGTTCATCCTTTCATAGCACTTGAACTGTGAATCTATTATTTTCTGGCGTATCACTGAATATTCCATAGACTCTAAAGTAGGTTTGGCGTAACTTACAGTAGTGGGGAAACTTGGAGCCATCCTCTGTATTAAAAAAAAAATCTGTTAATATTTTTAAGTTATATCGGGACAATACAATAAAAACATTTTTTTATTTTGTTTGTTTACTCAAGGAGTTTGGAGTTGCCAGGAAATGTACAATGCTCTTAATCTCAGGGACATGTATCTATAGAGTGGACAACAAGCAGGACTGAATGCAACTTTGAGTGATTGTTTGCCTTGATTCCCTGCCAGATCTTTTACCATATTATAAAATCATACATAGAAAAACTATGTGAAACACTTTGTTCACATACCCCACCCCCACCCCTGTTATCTGGTGTAAGAGTTTTCTGTAATTCCTTATCTCTCCTTTTAATGACAATAGCAAGATACACTCATTAAAAGGTGGTTATCATTATATCCTTGTTAGTAGAGATGTTATTGTTATTGTATTCTTTGATTATGTTGTTATATTAATGTTGGAAAGAAAAAAAGGGAACAGTTCCCTCCCCCCATTTCAATAGCACAACTACATTTCTTTAGAGCAATATCCCATCCATTTTATTATTAATTTCCAGTGTTCTCAATACCAAGAAATGCTTATCTAATCTAACTCTTTCACATTCCTGTAGTACATGCAATCTCAGGACAATGTTTTACATAGTGATGCAAAAAAGTGTAAGTTCACATGTCAGCTAATTGTGAGTATGCATATTTTATCTTTGTTCATATAAAGTAGTGGAATAATGTGTATTCCTGTAAATTAAAGTAATATTTAAAGTATGAGTAGGTAGAAGAGTGATTTAGAAGTACTCCCAGGATTCTGGATAATTTGCCCGGTTTCTGACAAAGATAGATAATCAAAGAAAAGTTGGATAATGCTATTAGTTATGATTCAGGGATACATTAAAACAACAATAACAAAAAAACAATATTGGAAATGTTTTTATGTTAGGCTGGAGAAATGAAATGGGCTTTTTTGACATATAAAACCCAAATAATCTAAGTCAGTGACTTTTGGTGACTCAATTTTTGTATGCATGAAATTTTCTTGGTATCAGTTAATTGCCTTCTGGGATACTTTTTAAATCTTCCAATCTTGTTTATAGGACAGCTACCAATTGGATTTTTGCAGCTCCGATCAGGTTGCCCTTGTCTATACACCTGGAATTTCCTGGTAATCTCCCTTTAACTTTTAAGTCCACATAAAGTCAGTCAAGCGCTGTTAAATACCTAAGCGCTGTTAAATACCAAATCCAATATTGAAGAATGGATTTTTTTTCAAACATGGTTCATTGAACAAACCATAGCAAGTTGTTTTTTATATGTCCCCAACAATAAGGGGTGGATTCACTCATCATGCAGGACTAATCCAAAATCATATCATATTATGATTTTACATTGTGCGTAAACCATGTAAATCAGTGATGGCTTATGCATTAGGAATTGCTAATTACTTACTTGCATTCTACTTCAATCTGCAGAACTTATTCAATTAAAAGATATAAATAGTAGGACTGTGCCTAGCATGTGAAAGATATATGAAGCAAGGGGGCACAAATGAAGCCTTTGAATTTTGTACCTTTTGCAGCACTGAGCTTCGCTGGCTGGGTTTATTCTCCCAACTGCCCTATTCAAATATTTTGCACCGCTTTAATAAGTAGATTCATATGTGAATGTTGTTATAACTGACCAATATCTTTCTCCGTTGAAATAGAAATAACTTTTTAAAAAGGAAAGTTATTTTGCTGAATGCATCTAGCATTTGATACAATCAAATTCTTAGAAACGTATTATTAAAAAGAAATCCCACTGAATTCAGTAAGGATTACTTCCAAGTAAATATGCATAGAACTGTCCTATTAAAGTACAACATACTTTTGCCTTTTATCCATATCATGATAAATTTCTATATAAATTTTTACACTTCTGAGTGCAATTTGTGCAGCAGGTACATTTTTGTACCAGGTTATTTCTTCTTTTTTGGATATAGTATATTTTTATTAAAACTTTTTGTTAAGATTGAAAGTTGTTTTTCCCTGTTTTAAGACTAAAATGACAAAGGGTACAGCTTTGGAAAGTTTAGGTGATTTTGCATTTATTATATTTCCGGCATCCACTTTTATTATCCCAATTTGCTGTGGCAATATAAGTAAGGAAGTCTACTGATGGCATGAAATATTTCTCTTTCTCTGGGCTATTGCATGAGGCATTTGGAAATATATTTATCTGTTCCTTTCATAAAGTATTCTGCTCTTCTATGAGACACTTAATGACCTAGTATGAAATGCCATTGTACATCTAAAAGAACACATGAAGAGTTTTACAGTTCAGTATCAGTTTACTTTTCAAAGGCAGCAGCAGGAACGTTTGTCATTATTGCATTATTTAATTTGACAAAACTATTACATCAACAGAACAATTTTCTTGGTGTTGAAAAAAATAAATTGGAACCATGTTAACTGTCATGTTTTCATTTTTACATCTACTCGATCCAACATTTATAATCTTTATACAACGTCTAACAAAAGCTATATGCGAGTTACGTGTTTCAGCTTCCATCAATCAAGTATGTTGAATAGATATTTTTAACCCAACCATATGTTAATTTAGAAAGTTTATTACAGCCTGTCAGATAATAATCTCCCAAAGCAACTAACAGAGATTGAACAAGATAGAAATTACTTTAAGATGCTAAAGTTGACAGAATAGCATGCTGTATAATATAGATCAAATTAAAAGATAATTGAAGAACCATAACTAAAGTGCCTCCTCCCACTGATTCCCTCTACTTTAACTGAATGTTGGGAGACCAAAAGAAAGCCCTCTAGGATGGGATGACATTAGATATTACCAGTATAATTTGAGGAGTATGGCATACAAACTCTACCATAAAGACTGTTTCTGATGAAATTCATTTGTTCATTTATTTATCAGGCTGCCCATTTATGTTCATGATATTGGACAGCTAACAATCAGTAAACATTTATGTAGAAACAAATAAGCAAAAACACTCATATTAAAACCTTATAAACACAATTAGCAGCCAAGGCACAAAAACCAATAGCAATTAACATAACCATGGATCCCGTAAGTTATTAAGTCTTATAAAAAGACACCAGGGTTGGGGCTAATCTAATCTTCAGGGAATGCTGTTCTAAAGGGCAGGTACATGGCTAAAATGAGTGTCTTCTGGGCACTTCCAGGTGACATGCTCTACCTGGGGATTAGGGTATAATCTGATGGGAAAATTAGACAAAATCAGGGAGACTTTCAAATAATTCAAATATTTGGCACTTTTGTCCGTCTATTGAGTTCCTTCCCAATGACATCTGGGATAGGCAGATGTTGTTTGATGGTGTTAAAGGTATCATTGCAGGATGTAAGCTGCTCCAAGTAAAGCTGCTTTTTGCAACTGACTGATGGTGATTTTGCCAGTGCAAATGGTGTTCCAGTGGTGCTCCAGATGTTCTGAGATCGCACTCAAGATATCTAATGTTATTGGTACTACCTTTGCTTTATTTTGTCACAGTCATTCTACTTTTATTTATAGGTATTTATATTTTGTGATTTTTTTCCAATTCTTTTTCTTCTCTTCTACTTCTGCCTTATCCACCATCTAGACTTCGCTGTCTTTCATAACAACAATTGTTCAGTTTGGGATGTTATGTGACAGTTGCTTGTCTGTATGAATTCTAAGTCCCATAAATTCTTCATTATCTATTATTTTGTCTGTTTTGTGCTCCTACCAGTTCTTGCTTGCAGTCAAATGATATTTCTTTCAGATCTTCCAATGTTCTACTGTTGCTAACTTGTCACACCATGGTTTGTAGTTAGTCTGTGAGATCTTGTAGCAGCTAACTAGGTGGTTCATTGTTTCTTTAGCTTCTTTGAAGAAGCAGTACCTGCTGTCTGTTCTTGTCTTTTCAATTCTGGCTTTATATGCATTTGTTCTTAATGCTTGGTTTTGTCCAGTCAGAATTAGCCCCTCTGTCTCTTTCTTCAACTTTGCTGCTCTTAGCCATTGCTGGTCTTGTAGTTATGTACTTTTCCTGGTAGTTTGTGTGTGTGTGTGTGTGTGTGTGTGTGTGTGTGTGTGTGCTAGCCAAGCAATACTTTCACTTCCCATGTCTCTTTTCTGTTCTTCATTTGGTTTTTCTTGTAAGCCAATTTGGTCTCTCCAGTAGTCAGTAAATTAGATATACTAACTTCGATGCATGTTCTTTTCTTTTCTTTAGATATTTTTCGAATGCCCTTTTGTCTTCTTTAATTGTCTGATGTACTTGCAACATTCCATGCTTACCTATGCTCCACGTTGAGGAGATTCAACTACTTTATTGATCACTCAGCTCCAGTGGACTCTGGGAAGTGTATAAAACTATAAAATAACATTAAAATAGCTGGTTGTTTTATAGAACGAATTATCAGAAAAAGCAATAGAAGACAAAGACCTCCTCAATTAAGCTCATGCTCACTACAGACCCATTTTTTCCTGGCCTTGATAAAAGCAAGTGTTTCATGCTAGAGAGAGTATAGAAATAGATTAACAGTCTTGTTCCAGCTGGATTCCATCTTCCTCTCCAATCAATTACAAACTGCCCTGGGGTAAGAACCACTCTTCACACAAGAATAATTTTATTTCTATTTTGGAATATAATGTTAATGCATCAATAAATATTTATTTTAACCTTATTTGTTCTGATCTTATATTTGTTTTAATCTTATCCACAATGCAGACTTTGATGTTAGGATACATACAGTAATGATTCTCTGGAATTGCTTGGACTTCAGAATGAATTTTTTCCTCATTTTTGGTGGAGGGAGGTAACATATATTTTCTGTAACCAGTGTTCCATTTCTCCAATCTTTGTCAAAATTGACAAAGTTGACAGGCTCTTGGTAGCACATTATAGTACAACAGAAGAAGATGGCATCTCCTGGTCAATGTTAATAGGACTACACACATCTAGGCTGGGCCTGCTTTTCATTCCAGTTATCAACTACTACTCATGTGCCTGAGGAAACAGAATTTAGACCAAGGC